ATAAAAAAATTTTAAAAATCCACCGAAAGTGCGTTAAAGTTGAAACTTCAAGCTTCAAAATGCTTTTTTAGATTTTTTTACGATAATTTTTCGCCGATTTACAGCAGTTTGAAAATAGCCTAATTTTTAGGGTTCATGAAGGGTTCCCTATTTTTTTGTACAAGTGTATATATATATATATATATATGGTTGGCGCTCGTTTGTATATAATTGTAATATAGTGGTTTGTCGCATGTATATAATATTGATATGGTTGTTGATTCGCGTATATTCATTGTATACTAGTCATTAAGCTCCTGATCGTTAGAGTTACCGTCGGTAATTGCGATATCGTGATTTGGGACTCGCGCGAAACGTTGGCGGACCGCGACAGGTGTCAATTTTCGCGCGACTCACCCGACTCGTGCTGCCCGCCCACGGGTGGTCCGCAATTATTTGGAACTATGAGTACTCGCTCCGGCCGCAATTCGCAGGTGCGTGAGCCGAGGAGTACCGTGAGGATATGATTCGTTGTTCGAATGTGGACTCGACAACACACATTTTTGGACACTCACCGTTCGGAGTTGATCGAGTAAACCGCACATTTGGAGCACGACAAGTCGTCTCAGTAATCTCGGGCCTTGCTTGCTTGCCTCTTGCACATGTGCCTGCTATACCGCCTGCTTGCCCGTATTGCACGTTTTGTTTGCCTGCCTGCTGCGGCACTTGAGTGCCTGCACATCCTAGCCTGCTGCACGCCTTCCGCTCTCCAGCACCACAGGGAGGACCGGAAGCCACGAGGCCACCACGAGAACATCGGGCAACGAAACGGTGAGTCGCTTTTTGTTTGCTATCTCGCTTTATTCGCCTAATCAAAATCGTGAGGAAATTGCCCCTCTGGTCCTTCGACCCCCCCCGAGCAATATATGTTGCGGTAAAATGTCCTTTTTTTTATATAAACAATTTATTATACATTTAAAGAATTAACAAAATTATTAAAATATAGATAAAAACTTTTATCTAAAATAGAATAATCTCATCACGGCACGTATGAACTTGTCCGTTCCTGTCTTCCACTCTCATTTCCCCACTATGGGGACTCTATAGTTCAAGTCACGTAAAATATGGTTTTTTTGTTGATTTTTTTTTGTTAAACGTAGACCTAGAAAAAAAGGTCTTCGACGTCATCTCTTCCTGCGTTCAATTCAATAGTTTAAATCACGTAAATTTTTTAATTAAATTATTATATTAATTAAATTAGGTTATATAAAATTATATTAATTTATAGGTTATAAATAATTAAATTAATTAAATTATGTTATAATGAATCATAACCTAACTCAATTAATTCAATTATTTATAACCTATAAATTAATATAATTATTTAATAAAAAAATCATTTAATTAATGATGCAAACATGCCGTCATCCACCTCCACGCCGATGACGTTATACCCCACCACGCCGATGACGTCACCCCCCACCACGCCGTCTTCCCCCTCCACGAGTGATTTAGAACGCCCATACTATACCTACTAAGTTGTGGATTCAATCTTCAATGATGAGTGTATATTGGAAGTTTATTCTCAATGATAGGTGTAGGTTGGGGATTAAGCCTTAATGTTTAGTGTAGGTTGGAGATTGATCCTCATCGTTGGATGTTGGTTTGGCCCGGTGTTTCTTAAGACAAAATTAAGTCAAAAAATCCTCTATACCACTTTTTCCTCTGGCAAACTGTTGAGGAGGCTCTGGATATTGTACCGGATAATGAGAGAAACTGCTTTTATAGTAAACAATACTTATTAGAGTTTATTAGGAGTATTACAGTACAGATTTACCGAACCTTCTCTAGCAGCGTACAGACAGAACAAGAAGCGACACTGCCGCATGCACGCGTTAATATATCGAAAGTTAAAGGCGGTATCCGCGAGTAGCCGGCGCCCCGGCTGCCACCTGCTATGCCATAATTGGCCAACCAATACGCGATAGAGTTGGTAATAGAAAAGTGCGCGAACACCCTCAACACAATTATATCAAGATATCATAAGCTAAATATTGAAAAAGTTACCAAGTTTTCCTTGAATATCTCAAAAAGTATTAAGCAAATAAAGGAATTTTTTAAACAAAAATTGTTTAAATTAATTAATAGAGAAAAATGGTACAATAAAAAATAAGGGTTTTTATTTAAAAAATTTGGGCCTTACCCAGCGAGAAATGACATCGAATCGACGTCTAATTGACGTCGAAATCATCGATATTACATTATATCGAAATAATGCTCGAAATTTGAAACTTATTTCGATGTTTGTGCTATATGACATATTAAAAAAAAAGAGATTATTTGTAACATATATCGCGCCAGACTGTAAACAGGCAAATTATGTATTTTCTGTTAAGACATTGATATTTTATCATTTCGATATCGATTCGAAGCTATTTTGATTTATGCCTGTCAAATATATAATAACATTGCCATTATATAGAATGCAATATGAATAAAAAATTATATTATATTAGCAGACATGGATAATGTAAATATTTTATGATTTGAGCATTATAATAATTGCGTTAAAATATTAATTTTTTTAGGCTTTCATTTCCATTAAATAGTTACTTTATAACTGTAAAAGTTACAACAAAATTTCTGTTTGTAATTTGGCAATTTTGAAAATTAAAATATTATATAATAGGTAAATTTTCAGTTCTACATCCGCACATTTATTAAACAAGAAGTTAAATTAAGTAACTAATTAAATTATTAATATTAAATATTAATACAATAAGATATTTGTATTTACATTTATTAAAATAAAAAATAAGTTTAATTATGAAAATAAATATTAATAATTGGACTTATTAAAAATTAAATAATTTGTTCAGATATTGCGCTCGAATTCTTTTCGCGTTTTACAACGCCCGATCATTTTACATTAGATGGCGCGACGCGCGAGTTGCCACTCTCAAAGAGCCCCCGCCTCCTTCCTCACTCGTTAGGTGTCATGGCCGCACTTGCTTGCGTTTCTTTGTACGTGTCGAGTCCGTTTCCTCTTTCTTGACGGATTGATCGTTGCGGCGCGTGTTCTGGAGACTAACCGAGTAAAAGTCGGATCACCAGGGAGAGCTCACCGCCAGGAAAGTGAGAGCTGCGGCAGCTAGCGTTCGTGAAGGAGGATCGAGGCGAGGAGTCCGGTTCAGCGAGCGGAGTCCTTAAGAGATTCTCATTGGGACGCCATATTTGTTATTGTTGAGAATCGAGCTATAATTTGGAATGTGGATCGCGAATACATCCGACAACGACACAGCACACGTGATTAGGATAATTACAGTAATCACTATATACGATAATAAATGCAAGAATATATATTATATAAATTGATCGGTACAAGTCCGGAAGCACGTTCTCAGGTACACTTCTGACGAGAGAGTGAGACGAGCGTCGGGGGTTTACGCCGAGAGCGAATTCGTGTACACGCTTGTATCACGTGCATGCATGATTCTCGAGTGTCTATTGTAAGATGTCACCATATACACGATTACTAGAATCTAGCGTTCAAGTAATATTCAACAATCCTCCTTGACATCTGAATCCGCCCAATGACGCTCATCGATTATTATCCTTGGATGTACTGCTTCAATCCTATCTTCTCTCTCAAGGTGGCAAGTCTGATTCTTCCAAGCGGCTTCGTAAGTAAGTCCGCTAACATTATTTCGGTCGGACAGTATTTAAAATTGACTTGTCCCTTCTCTGCTAGGTCTCGTGCGAATTGAAACCTGGTATCCATGTGTTTGGTCCAACGTTGCTCATTGCCCTTGGATTATTCAGTAGTGCGAGATAGCTTTGGTTGTCTTCTAAAACTGTCGTAGGCTTAGTAATGTTTTCATCAAAGTCCTCTAGTATCTGATGAACCCAAAGCAGTTCTTTGGAAGTCTCTACGAGTGCGACGTATTCCGCTTCAGTCGTAGAAAGTGCAACGCACGTCTGCTTCCTACAGCCCCATGCAATCGTTAATCCGTGTAATTGTACTAGAAATCTGCTGATGGATTTTCGATCGCTTCGGCCCTGTGCCCAGTCCGCATTTGAATAGGCAACAAGTCCAGTATTCCTCTCCTCGATGTTTCCTAACTTAAGCTGAAATTGCATCGTTTCTTTTAAATATTTCAAGATTTGTTTCGTTTCCGTCCAATCAACAATTGTTGGATCGGTCGTGTGTTGGCTCAAAATGCACACTGGTGCGAGAATATCCGGCCTTGCGTTGACTTCTATGTATAGAAGTTCTCCGATGCGTTCTTGATAATTCTTATTCGATTCCATCATGTCTGCTTGGCACCTGTTCTTCATGCTTCCTGGATCCATAGGTATGTTCACGTTTTTGCGTCTCTCATTCCGTTACGGTTGATGATTTTTTCTATGTAGACTTCTTAATCAAGGTGAAAAATGCCTCGTTCGTTTTTCCGTATTCGAAAACCAAGAAAACTTCTCGGTTATCCAAGGCCTACGATATCAAACGCCTTTTTTAGCGCTTCCTCCGTTTCGTCAATGATCCTCTGAGTAGTGCTTGCAATCAGAAAGTCATCCACGTAAACAACTAGATAAGTTGTTGTTGTCCGTGTAACCCTTTTAAACAGGCATTTGTCCGATTTGCTTTGTTGATATCCGTGTTAATTCAAAACGCTCTTGAGTGTGTCGTACCATGTTTTCGCGGCCTGCTTTAGACCGTACAAACTTTTTCGCAATCTGCATACTTTATCTTCTCCTTCTGGGTTTATAAATCCTTCCGGTTGAACCATATATACGGTTTTTTTCAGATCGCCATTGAGAAACGCAGTCTTGGCGTCGAACTGCTTAACGATGAGTCCTCTTTTTCCTGCTAATGTGAAGAAGATACGTACTGTCGTCTGTCCAACCACCGGAGCGAAAACTTCATCATAGTCCTTGCCATATTTTTCCAACGGGTTTACGTCCCTTCGGCAAGTCGACCAGGTCTCAAGTGTGGTTTGTCATCAGAGCCTGTATCTCCTCCTTCATGGCCGAACTCCATTTTTCTTTATCAGGGCCCGATAGCGCCTAGGCTCCACGATAAAGGTGCTGACCATGTTGGCATGATCGGAGATTGCGAACCTGTCAGGCGGCCTGCCTTTGTTTCTACGCGATAATCTTTTTAGTTCCTCGTCCTCTCCATCTTGGTCTTCATCGTTGTCCTCGCCAGCATTTTCAAAACTTTCTTCGTCGCTGGTGATCACAATTGTCTTGTCGGTCCGTGGTACATTTTGCTCCTGCTCTTGCTCGAATGGTACAATCTTCTCGTCTGGATCCTGCTCAATCGAGCGTTCTTTTCTTGATTAATCAAGATTTGTTTCTACATTTGATGTATTTCCAAAATCTTCCTCTCCGACAAAGGTCACATTTCTGCTGATTGTGATTTTTCCTTTCTGCTTGTCCAGAAGTCGATATGCTTTGGAGCCGTTTGCATATCCGATGAAAATTAATTTCTGCGCCTTTGGACTCAGTTTTCCTCGAAACATCTTGCGAACGTGCACGTATGCGGTACAGCCAAACACATGTAAATGTGTCATGTCCGGCAGCTTTCCCTCCCAAAGTTCAAAGGGCGTCTTTTCTGTTGCTCTTGTCGGTAGGCGATTTTGTAAATAATTAGCCGTATTTATTGCTTCTCCCCAATACTTTTCAGCTAGATCTGCATTATATAACAAACATCTTACCGTTTCAATAAGATAGCGATTTTTCCGTTCGGCTACTCCATTTTGTTGTGGGGAATACGGTGCAGTCAGTTGTACTTGTGTGCCAGATTTCCTCAAGTTTTGGTGCAGATCCTCTGTAATAAACTCATGACCTCGATCTGAACGTATTGCTTTAGGTCTCCGCTCAACTTCGTAAATACGGCCTCAAAATACTCCGTCACAGCTTGCGCTGTGTCCGATTTTGCCTTCAACAGACTCACGCAGGTATAACGGCTGTAATCATCAATAATAGTAAGTATATATTTCTTACCATCTTGCGTAGCTGTCCTCATAGGGCCACAGAGATCAGTATGCAGCAATTCCAGTTTGTTATTTGTTTTTGTCAGCGAGACCTTAGGAAATGGCTTTCTCGCCATTTTTGCCTTAATACAACAATCGCAAGCGCATCTGATTCCACAATCCTTCATCTTAATTCCCGTTGCCAGTTTTTTTTTCACCAGCTGCTTCACCGCTACTCGATGTCCAAACTTCTTGTGCCACGTATGCTGACACTCGATGATGTGGGCAGATTTTGCTGCAAGTGCACTTTCTACGAGATGCAAGTAATACAAACCACCTCGTAGACTCCCTGTTGCAACTAGTTTTCCTTCGCGAGTAATGCTGCAATTTGACCCGCTAAATATCACCTTAAAGTTATTGCGAGTTATCCGTCGAACTGACAGCAGACTCCCTTTCAGCGTCGGCACGTACAGGACTTCCGTCAACGTCACCGGTGTATGCTGTTCTTCACGTCCCACGCATCGTAACACCACGGTTCCGATTTCTTCGGTTCGCATCATTCTATCGTCCGCAAGCATAACGCTACCTTTCACGGCACTGAATTTTGAAAATACGTCTCTATTTGTCGTCATGTGTTTTGACGCACCAGAGTCAATTGTTTACTCAGTGTCTGTTTCCTTCGGCTTGCTCGCTCCAACCATGAAGCACATGTGCACCGAACCTTCCGTGCCCTCATTCTCAACGTCAACAACGTTTCCGGCACTCTCCTTGTTATTCTTCCAACGCTTGAAACGGGGACAATTTCTCTTAATATGCCCCGACTTTCGACAAAAATAACAAGTTACACTGCTACCAGTCGACACCTTCAAAGCACTCTCCTTGTCGATTTCTCCGATCTTGTTTATTTTTCGACGCTTGTATTCGTCGATTAGCTTTCCCTTTACGAGCGTCAAGGTCAGCTGATCATCGGGACGGCTCTCAAGGGCCGTTACGAGCGTACCATATGAATCCGGCAGGCTTCCAAGAAGAATTGCAATTTGCAAACTTTCCACAAGTTTCTCACCTAAAGCCGCTAGTTTGTCGACAAGCAAGAGCGTCCCGTTAATATGCTCCTCCATATCTCCATCTTTATCCAGCTTTCGATTAACAATGCTCTTCAAAAGGAATACTTTACTGGAAAGTGTCGATTTCTTGTGGTATGCCTTCAAAGCGTTCCATGCTTGCTTTGCAGTTGTCGCTTCCCTCACGTGTATTGACTGTCCTCCACTAGTAGACAAATTGTCGCGTGCGCCCGATTGTCCATCTTTGTCCATATCGGAGTAATTTGCTCCGGCGGCGACTGACTTACAACATCCCACAGATCCTCCTTTATATTACCAGTAGTTCAACTTTATATTTCCACAATTGGTAATTATCGTTATCAAGTTTTGCGATGGAAATGCGTGTCGTTTCCGCCATTGTCTATCACACTCGACCACGTTATCAGTGAGCACGTTTTGAACCTGGACCCATAACCTGTTGAGAATCGAGCTATAATTTGGAATGTGGATCGCGAATACGTCCGACAACGACACAGCACACGTGATTAGGATAATTACAGTAATCACTATGTACGATAATAAATGCAAGAATATATATTATATAGATTGATCGGTACAAGTCCGGAAGCACGTTCTCAGGTACACTTCTGACGAGAGAGTGAGACAAGCGTCGGGGGTTTACGCCGAGAGCGAATTCGTGCACGCGTGTATCACGTGCATGCATGATTCTCGAGTGTCTATTGTAAGATGTCACTATATACACGATTACTAGAATATAGTGTTCAAGTAATATTTAACAATTACTTTCATTTAAGGGTTCATATTTTTAGGGTTTATACCGTCATTTTTAAGGATTAACCATTAATTGAAGGTTAACTAGCACTTGAAGGTTAACCATCATCCAAAGAAAAACTCTCAAGTTTGGGTGTGATTTTGGACCGCCAATTAAATTTCTATGGTGTTTTTTTAACGGTTAACACCAAAAGTTGAGTGTATTTTCCATAAGGGTTACATAAGAGAAAAATTTAATGTTGACATATTACCACACACATAGTATATTGTTCTGTCGTTCTATGTGTATATATATATATATATA